TGCCCCCCCTCAGATGGAGTCCTAACGGAGTGCAGGTGCAGAAGAGCTGGGCACCACTCACACAGGGCCCAGTGCATCAGCTGAGGGCAATGAGACAGAGGCAGTGCAGCTGCACCCCTTCGGAAGGCTATGCCAAGACACCAACAGAAAAGAAACGGCAATTCAGCATCGCTGAGAACCCCTGAGCTGTTTCCTCATCTGAAGAACAGAGGGAGCCTTTATCTATTAAGTCTTCAGTGGGAATTAAGTGAGATTACTTTTACAAAGTGCCCGGCACGGCTCTGTAGATACTCGATAAATGGTAGTTATTATTAGAGCACACCCCACCAGCAACAGCAGCGACATCACAGGGCAGGCTAGGAACAATGCTGAAACTGGGAGAAACTGTGGGGAGAGGGGTCAGGAGACAGGAGAGCACCTGCTACAGGCCCGAGTGGGCAGGACGACCTTGGGTCTGGAATAGTCCCCAGAGGCCCAGAGTGGTAATATCGGGAAGCTGTGGGAATTTAAAAGGAGGCCTAGTAGGTCTTCGAGGCTAATGGCATGTCCTTGAAGGGACTGTAGTACCTCATCCGCCTCCTTGCTCTCTTTGGTTTCCAGCCATGAGGGAAGCAGTTAGTTCTGTTCCACCACACACTCCTGCCATCAAATGTCACCCCATCTGTAGGCAAACAATGAGCCAACTAGTCTGTGAGACCCCAAAACTGCGAACTAAAAAAAAACTTTCTCTCCTTATATACTGGTTATATACAATATTTCTGATATAGTAACAAAACTGACTAAAGTGGTGGGGGGTCATCTAATAAACTCTAAAAGCCACCACAGTGAGCCAAGCACCCCTAAATCAATCTCTATCTCAGTCTCAGGTCGTCAGATCACTAAAAAGGCAAGGCGAGCCTAGAGACGTACAGTAAAAGACAGTCAAGGGCAGAGAGCGAAGCCAGGTTTCCGCCAGGGCTTTCCTTGCAGTGGAGCTGCAGGCGTTGGGCTGAACTGGCCGGGGCGAGAGGAAAGGTGAACCTCGGGTGTGAAGCTGAACGAAGTCCAGGCCACGTGACCAGCTCAGGCCCTCCAAATGCCCAGCACACCTGCAAATATACTACCTGTGGCCTTTTCGCCCAGATGCTGGCTGACTTCCCTCACACCATCTGAGTCAGGCAGCTGTTTTCCCAGGAGAAAAATGTCATCCTTTTCTTTTTAGAATCCCATCAGGTTCAATGTGACCTTTAAGCTGTTTCTTCTCTACTTTTGAGAAGTAGAAGAGGTAGGTCTGGGTCTCACTTATGTGAAGAGGGCAATAATAATCCCCTAGTTTCTCTGTTCACAGGTTCGGTCTAAAGAGGAAATAGCAGCATATACCTTGTAAAGACCAAAACCAAAACATCATTAAGATGGAAAGGGACAAAAGAAGAAGTCTTTTTTTGTAACTAAACAGGGAACAAGATGAATACCTGCTTCATAGGCAACTGGGCCTCCGCCAGATGTTCCAGGTCAGGAAAACGGACAAACAACAGGGGGTGCTGCCAGTGCTGAGCTGGGTTACTGAGAGCTTCTCCCTGGGAACAAGCACTGCCTGAGAGTCAGGTGAACTGGGACAAAGCGGAATTCACGAGGGAGCCAAACCACAGGACACGAGAGAGGAGAATGGTCCTACCCTAGAGGTTTCAGGACGGTTTGCTCAATTATTCATTTATTCATACATTTATTTATTATTTACTTACTTGAGATGGGGTCTCGTGTATCTAGCCTCAAACTCACTCTGTAACTGAGGATGGCCTTGAACTTCTGATCTTCCTGTCTTTACCCCAAGGGCTGAGACTACAGTGTGCTACATACGTTACTATCACACTTGCTTCATGTGACGCTCAGACTCAAACCCAGGGCCTCGGGCACGATAGGCAAGCACTCTACCAACTAAGCTACATACCCAGTTCTGGTTCTCCCGATAATTTAAATCCCTCTTAAACCACTAACTCCTCCCATCAAGAAAAGGACTTGACTACCAGAGAGAGAAAAACAGGGTCCAAAGCAGGGAAGTGATTTGCCAGAGGTCACCTCCCCAGTCCCAGAGGCATCAATTACTCTAGAACATTAACCCTTGCCCTGTCTCTCCCATGTCAGTGTCCACAAGGTTCTCCTGTGGGTTCCAGGACACAACTAGGCTGGGAAAGAAGACTGCACGCTGCACTTTCCGTCCTTGTGTGTCAAGGAGCTGCCACAGCTGACAGAACAGGGACTCTACCAAAACCCCTACTCACTCTGGAATGATGGGAAAACAGGCAAGACCCTGAAACAAATTCTCTAACTCTTGGAGAACAGCAGATCTGTACAGAGATCTGTTACTCAGGTCTGTTATCAAGTCACCATCTCCCTCTTCCCACAACCAGCTCCAGGAGCAGCTCAAGAGAAAGAACAGGACAACCAGGGCTACACAGGGCTCAGAGAGGGACACACAGAGAGAACAAAGTCAGATGGGAATGCCCAAACCCCCGAAACCTCAAGGAAGGACCAGGACCAGGTGGCAGCCAGGGCTATGGGATACTGTGCTCCAGTCTCAGCAGATATAGGAAGTAGGTGGCTAAAATACTAACAGCAGCAGCGGCTGCTCACCAAGCACTCCCTATACATAGAAAGTCAACTGTGTGTGCATTAATTTACATCATCATCACATCACTAGCTACAGCTAGATGCTAGCCCCCTCACACACATGCACACTCACACACACTTTCTCTGTGAGGTACTGGCGTAGAACCTAGGGCTTTGTGTATGTTCCAACCACTGAACTACACTCCATCTGTACTTTCCATTTTATGATAAAGAAACTGAGCTTCAGAGAACATAAGCCACCAGAGCGGAGGTGCCTTCCCCACTGCAGCCTCAAATCTAACCTTAACGTCAGACCGTAAAGGTGGAGGTGGAGAAGTGGTTTGTACTGTTGCCATCTTAACGGGACCCTTGACACCTTTGGTCCACATTCCCTCTACCGTTTAGCCCCAGAAAGGCCAGGTGCCAAAGGCCAAGGCTCCTGTTGTCAGAAAAGTCAGACACGCAGGCCTTTGGGACTGCAAGGGGGCGGGGGGGGGGGGGGGGGGGGCGGGGATCATACTCAGTCTTCCCATTTTATGATGGGAAAACTGAGGTCCAAGGTTGGGGCTTAACCAGGGTTTCCAGAATCAGGGAAGGATCACAAAGATCAGTTGGCTAAGAGGGTGTGATTGGTCAAGGTCACAGGAGGAGGAGAGATGGTGAACCCAGTTTCCTGACAAATATTCTTGCCAGTGCCCCATCCCTGCTGTCCAGCCCAGGGTCTCAGACCCCACACTCTTATGCTGACAAAGCAGGTCAGGCCCAGTTGGTGCCCCTTAGGACAAATGCTATCACATAGAGTCTGCAGGACAAAAAGTTTCCAGAGTGGGGTCTTTTTGGTCATATCACCAGCAGACACAGATTGGCTGGGTGTGTGCCAACTCCCAATACTGGGACGTGAGGGGGCAGAAGGGAGGTGTTAGTCTCTTCCTTGTCTCCTACAGACAAATGACATATCATGGTCACTTCAGTTTCTTAGAACAAGCACAGACACAAGGTTTCATGACTCAATCGATACAGTCAAACAACACTTCAGATTCTTATTTCACAAGACCTTCAGGAAAGGTTCAGCTGTTCAAGGTCACACATATATGTGAGAATCCAGACACAGGGTTCCCCTTGCTCAGTCCTTGTTTTTTCCCAGGAAGCTGGCTGCCTTCAAGGTATAGGTGCTGATGGCCCAGCTCCACAGCCAAACTCCACAGTCACCATAACGCCTCAGCACCAAAGCCCTGCACCGGGAAGCCGGACCCTGGTTCTATCAAAGCAGAGGCAGCAGTTAGTTCCTGCAGCACGTCCCAGGGGTGGCCTCACACTAGGCTGGTGTCCTTGGGAAAGCTGAAAGGCTTCCGGTTCAGTCTCTTAACTCCTGTAAACCCAAATCTCAAGCAAAGAGGGAAACAGAGTCCCAGTACCTTGTGCCTTCCACTGTTAGCTGTACGTGGACTGAAAAACTTAAGGCAGCTTCCAAAGCCCCCTGGACACTACCTCCAGGGACTTCTGCGTTATGCAGCCTCTGGAGAGCTCCACCAATCACCCAGCAGAACAGGGTGCTCAGGCTGGGCAGGGAGCCCAACCCTTGGGGAGGGGACAGCTTTTCCATGCCCTTCTTCCAAAGAGACTACTTTGAAATCTTAGCCTAGCTCTTCTCTGTCCCTTCTCCTTCAGTGAGCAGCCAACGTCTCTGGTCAGTCGGGTACAAACCCGAACCAAACCTCAACTTCCTCCACTTTCCTGCCACCCCAAAATGGCCTTTAGAAATATGCCTATGAACTGGATAACGGTTGGCATTTCTGGTCTGGAACCTGACTCAGGGGCATCTGACTAGCCTCGGTAGGCAAAACTGACAGATACTACTCTGGGAATGAAGGAAAATGAAACTTTGGTCATCCCTGACGTTCTTCCGACCACACTAAGTCTTCTGTACCCAGTCCCTTACTATATGCAAAATCCTTAGGCAGGCCAAGTCCTGAAACACCCTCTCATGGAGAAGGTAATAAATTGCACTGATTCCTGTTGACAGGGCAGAAAGTGCCACTCGCTCAAAGATCCTCCTGTCTTACACATAGCTCAGCACTGGGCTCCTCTCTCCGTCCCATCCAAGTCATGGGACCTGCCAAGCCTTGGAAGCTTTACTGAAACTCCCTAGTATTAGAAGCATCCCATTCTCAAGTCCTGTGTGCTCTCCCGGTCCCTTCCTTCCTCCTACATAATGCCAGCTCTAACTTGGAAGATCCCAAATCACACAGGCCAGAGTTGGAATTTAAGGACCAAACACATAAAGGAAAAGAATGCCTGTCACAGAAGTGGTTCATTGGGATCCTGAGCAGCCGCATCTGGTAAGAAACAGGACAAGAAGCTCACCTATCTGGTGGCGGCGGAGGCGGCAGCAGCACCACACACCTCAGACTCACCTATCTTCATGAGGCAGGCCAGGAGGATCCAGAGGGAGATCTCGAAGGGTGTGCGCACGTGTAAGTAGTCAATGTCCAGGACCGGAAAGGCCTTTCGATGTGACTTAACGCCATGTTCAATGTGTAAATGGGTCAAATTGCGGTCGTCTGGGTGGTGAAGAGGCTCCGACGGAGCAGTGGTAACATCCCCAATTGAGCGTTCCCGTGGTGGCTCGGACCCTCTGATGGTGCTGGCAGTGGGGCTGGGCTGGAGGCCATGGCTCCTGAGAACAGGTAACAGTCCCACCAAGGCAACCACCACCAACAAGGAGGGGAAGATCCGAGGTGGAGAAAGTCCCCCAATGCTAGACCCCCGAAGCATCATGCTGCTCCCTCAGCCTGAGAGGCCTCAGCCCTTAGGGAAGTGAGTGTGAGACCTGGGACATAGGGAGCAAGGAGTCTGCAGCTGAGGTGAACTGGAGCAGTCTCTAGGAAAAGTTCATGTTTTAGAGAGGTATTTTCGTTCTCTAGAGATTCACAATCTGAAAGTCTAAACTGGAAAAAAAAAGGGGGAGGGGGGCAAGTACCTTGGAGGAACTAGGGAGGAAACCCAAAAGATCTAGAACTCCAGGCTGAGAGAAGGCAATCGGGGAAACTGCGTCCTAAAGACAGAGGAAGGGCTAGGATAGGATGGACCACCGGCAAAGGAAACGAGGAAGAAATCCGGACCTTTGGCTACGAAAAATATCCGGGATGCTGGAACTCGGCTAAAAGGAAGGGGTAAGGAACCTGTGCTAGAGGGGACCGAAAAGGGTGAGACCCACTGCAGGAAAAGGAGAGAGGAGGCTGGAAGGCCAGCCTGAGAGAAAGGAGTAAAGCCAGAAAAAGGCTGGGGCTTCCCCACCCAGAGGAGAGCCTGGGTCCAAGCGCGCCGGGTTGAGATTCCGGGGAAATGGAGGGAGGCGGAAGACGGAGGCAGGCGGCCTGGCGGGAAGGCTCCTCGGCGCAGGCAGGAGGCGGCTCGCAGTCAGCCAGCAGCAACACACCCCTCTTTGAGACACCGGTGCAGTGCTGTAGTGCGCCCCGGCCCAGCGGCAGCTTCTTCCCGGCCAGCTCCAGCTCCACCTCCAGCCCTAGCAAGGTCCCCGGTCCCGCGGCAGCGGACTGATGCCTCGCTGAGCACAGCGCAGCCATTTATAGGCACCAACGAGCAGCCGGCGCAGCGGGCTAGAGAGACCTGTCAGCGCCCGCGCGGTGCAGCGGCCCCTGTCGCCGAGGGAAGGAAGTAGCACGTAAGAAGAGGAAGCAGAGACCCAGATAGAAAAAATAAAAAAGCACATTCTAACACGAATGAAATACTGTACTACCTACAAAGTATTTTCTCATTGCCGCGTGACCTTGAGCAAGTTACTTAGCTTCTCTTTTTCACAGCTTTCCCAACTGTGATGTGGAGATAAGTAGCTATACCAAACGGGTAACAGGATGGCTAAGTGAAGTAATCTCTGTGCAATATTTAGAATGAAAGGTGGGATTGTGGTTCAGAGACAGTGTGTGCCTACGTTTGTAACGCCTTGATTTCAATGCCAAGCGTCACAAAATAAGTTGTATGAATGAATGAATGAATGAATGAGGGCTAGAAATCTGAAGTGCAGATGTTCCCAAGGGTAGGTTTGTGAGCAAAAATCAGTTACTGCATCCCACCTGCTGGGACTTTGTGGGCAGTGTACTGGTGTCCCTTGACTGTGGCAGCATAACTCCACCCTCCCTGTCTCTGTCTGTCTCTAGTTCCAAATGGTCCCTTTTGCAAAGACTCCAGTCAATTCGAATTAGGAATCTGCTCTTAGCTTGATCAACTTCAAAAGTCCAATCTAAGACCTGAGCAGTGGTTCCCAGCCATAACTGCCAGCACTTTGGAGACTAAGGAAAGAGGAATTTCAACTCAAGGTCGGCTTGTGTAACGAAGTGAGTGAGTTCCAGACTAGTCTGGGCTACGTAAAGAGATGCTATCTCAAAGAGATGAAAAAGACATTCACCTAAATAGGACCACATTTACAGGCACAGAGGGTGGGCAAGGGTGAGACTTCAGCTTCTTTTGAGAGGTGCATCTCAACCCATTACAGTAGTGAAACAACAAAATAGCAAAGAAGCTGGGCATTGTTTTAGTCTCTTTGTTTGATTGGTTTAAAGAGTAAACAAGGATTTTTTATTACCTGCAAGCAGAATGCAACTTCCAAAAACAGCATGTTCTCTGTTTTGTGAAACAGGGTCTTGCCATGTAGTCCAGCTTGACTTAATGTTTTTGTTTATGTTGCTGGGGTTTTTTTTTTTGTTTGTTTGTTTGTTTGCCTTTTTGGTTTTTCAAGACAGAGTTTCTTTAATCCCAAATAGGAGTGCTGGGATTAAAAGCATGTGCCACCACCACCAGGCAGTCTGTCCTCTCAAATGGGATTACTAGTGTACACCAGCACAGACAGCTGAAGCTGACATTTGAATGAACGGTGATGACTGGGATTTGGAAAGC